AAAGAAGGATTCTAGCAGATTTTGTTATTATTGATCTCCCTTACTCCTATAATTCTATATTTGGAAGGCCTATACTGCACGAACTATAGGCAGCTACCTCAATATATCATTACTGCATTGAGTTCCCAACTCCCTATGGACCAAGGGTAGTGCGTGGAAATCAGGCCGAAGCTAGAGCTTGCAACATAGAGCTACCGCCACCCAGATCCGAATGATGGGGAACCAACAGCATCAACAGAAGGGAGAATTTAGGACTAAACGACCCATTATGGCCGACCTGTCCAAGGTCAGCATAACTGAGAAACATAGCAACAGGGCAACTGACGGCCAGCTCTCATTTGAAGAAGGGGAAGCAGACCCAAATCCCTATCCTGGGATCTTGGTAATCTCCATTCCCATATCAGGAGTTGACATTCCCAAGGTCCTGGTTGATACAGGAAGCTCTCTTAACATACTTTACGCCGCTACTTTGGAACGAATTGGGATTCCCCTGAGCTTCTTACAACATTATCCAAGTATGGTTCTGGGGCTTAACAGTTCTCTGTATGTTGCAAAAGGGGTAATCAAACTCCTGTGAAGCTCAGAGAATCTCCTCGTCAAGCCAAGTTGAGCACGAAATTTGTGATTCTGGACTCAAAATCCTCTTATGATGCTATCATGGGACAATTCCTGTTGTTCAACCTTAAAGCAATTGTGTCCATGTATCATTATTCTATCAAATTTCCCAAGCCTCATGGCATAGGGCAAATCAAGGGGAACAAAGAAATTGTTGAAAAATGTCAAGTAATGTTTTATCCAAAAGAAAGAAAGATCTGTCTTGCTTCCGAAGTCCATATGGTATGCATAGTCGAACCCACACCGAATTCATTGGACCCACGCCTGAAGGTGAGAGGAGGAAAGCCGATGGAAGAGCTGGATGTCATTAAGATCGGAATGGAAGACCCACATAAGGAATTCAAAATAGGTCATGAATTGCGGTCACCACTCAGAGATCAGATCACTAAGTTTCTTCAAGAAAACCTTGATGTTTTTGCCTGGGAACATTAAGATATGAAGGGAATCGACCCAAAGGTCCCATGCCAACAGGAAAGGGAGGAACAAAATTCGCAATTGTAGCAGTTGACTACTTCACCAAATAGGTGGAAGCCGAACCTCTAGCTAAAATAACCGAGCACAAAACCGCGGAGTTTATATGGAAATCCATCGTATGCCGGTTTGGGATACCACATTCCGTTGTGACAGACAATGGGAAACAATTTGATAACTCTCATTTCTCATACTTCTGTGAAAGCTTCTGGATACAAGGGCTCTTCTGTGATTATCGTTTCTGACATTTACTAACCAACTTGAGAATAGACAATTAATAAGTTCCACTTATTAATACATATCGAATATTTTTTTTATTTTTTTTGGCCCTCTTATTAGCATGACACTACCGTCCTTCAAAGCTTGTTTAGTGAAATAGACTACATTATATTGAACACAAGTAAGATTAATAAGAAATTAAAATGTGTCAATATGTGTGCTAAACATGCATTTATGAGTCTGCAGATATTGAATCACTAATGTCCACATGAGAAGATAAAAGTTAAATGGGAAGGTTGCTTTAATAGATGGAAAATTGGAGTTATTAGATCTTTTCAAAGAAAAACAACCGAATCTTTAATGTCGAAAGGCACGTGTAAAAAAAGAAAACGAAGAAGAATGAGAGAGGGGGACGGACTTCATTTTTAAGAGGAAAAAGTAGTGTGATAGAAAGAAGAAAATATACGATAAGAAGAGAGAGTGTCTCTGAAATACGAAAAACAAAAACAAAGAGGAAGAACGAGGAAATAGCAGTCTGACGGTCAATTAAGAAGAGAAGGTATGGACAATTAAATCATGAAAGAAAAAAAGAACTATACAAAGTTGAGATTTTTGGTTGCTTTAGTGATATTTTATTTGTTTTTAACATAATTTTGATTTAATTTGAGCATTTATCTTTTTAAAGATGCCATGCTCAATTCTATAATGCCTAAATTAGTTTGCATTTAAATGAACCTATCATTTAATGAAATCTAATTGCCACGGGTGATTAGTACTAATTGTGCTAAATAGCATTACTCAAACATTAAAATAAGTATTATTTATCATGTAAGAATGAATTTTTTTAATATTTGTTATTTTGGGTTAGTGCTGAACAGTCGTAATTTATTATTATTATTATTTTATTTTTTTTGTAATTATTGACGACTAAGAGCACAGTGACTATCAAATCATATTTGTCGTCCACCATCAACATGACACATTCATGAAAATGATACAACAGTGTCATCTCAATGGCATATCGATGACACATTCATGAAAATCGCTTAGTTGAAAAGTATTAATGCCTCCACGATTAGCTCGTACAAATTATATACAGCAGTATAATAGACAATATTTAAATATTTTTAATTATTTTATATGGGTTTAATTCAATATCCCAAAGTGGGAAAGGTCAATCTGACTGGCCAATCAAATGTTCATTGATAATTTATGAGATGAACCCAGTAAAAACGAAAATATTAAGATGAATGTGGTAGGTTATTGTGCGTCATTTTGAATGTTAGTATGGATTGCTTATAAATATATAAGCAAAATAGATAATGTCTCAAATGATTTTCCAACTTAAGTTAGATTCCATATAACTGACGTGGCAAGAAAAATGTAAACGGTGTGAAGAGGTTATTCTAGATATAGAGAATTTGTTAAATTTTAGTCCATGTTTAGTTTAGCTAAGAATCGGCTTCTTTTTTTTTTTAAGTAAATTTTGAAAAAAAAATGATGAAATATGTGATTGAAAAGTTGATAGAAATGTAGATCCAATAAAATGTGTGATTAAAATTAATTGTTGACTTTGATTGAAATTACCTAATTCGTTTTGTAGATTATTACTACCGATGTAATTAGTAAAAAATCGCAATGTAAGATGCATGCATTTAGAAATGATCTCCTACTCATGGTGGGTAGGATAAAACTAGAGATAATAAAAAAAACTCGACAAACCCTATACTTTCCATTTCCATTTCCATGGCGGGTAGGATAAAATTAGAGATGGTAAAAAAATCCAAAAAACCCGATAACTGCGATGCCTCGCCCCGAACGGGAGGGGGATTACCCGCTTAACCGGGTATTCGGGTATGGGAGGAGGCGGATAACTTTGCCCCGGAGTGGGTTTGAGGAGGGTACGGGTAATGGGTGTCCAGCCTCCTTTAACTTTTTAAATTTTTTTTTTTTAAAATTCAATACTTTAAATAGAAAATTTTACAAAATTTTATTAGTTTTAATAGAAAATGGCAACTGAAATTATCTAAAAAATATGACAAATAATAAAAGTCTTAGTTTACCAAATATATTCGAATAATTAAATTTTAAAAATAAATAAAGATTAAAAAATATATTATTGCCTCAATCTAATGCATGGGGACAATAAAATGAATTATAAAAACATACTCATTGTCACGTCAGCGATCAAGTCTATAATTTTTGATAACTCAACGTTTAGTTGTCAAAAATTATAAGTTTACGTCATTGATGGACAAGATTACTTTTACTCACCAAAATTACTCTTACCCACCATGGGTAGGAGATCATTTCTCTTACCTACTAATGCCAACTTAAAAAATCCTAACATCTTTCCAATAAATAATCAGTGGAGAGCATGGCATGACAATAATTCATTAAAAACAAATCATCTAGTTGACTGAAATATACCCAGAAAAGTAATTTATTTTATCAAGTTCTTGCATCCTAGTAGATAGTAAATAATTTTTTTTCCTGGTATTTTGGGCATCCCAGCATAGCCTTCCATAAGTGGACTGTCGCAAATATAAAAGTCAAAAATTTAGATTATTTAAGAGTGTAATCATTCTTGGGTTTTAGGACTTGATCGAAAAGGAAGGCATAACCCATATGAAGCCTTTTCAATTGGCCATTCTTCTCTAAAGTTCTGCTTCACATTGTAAAATATACAAGTAATTTATATGATTTTACTTTCTTTGCTTTTCACTCAAATCTATTTTATTGCATCATTGGAATTCGAAAAGAAGGGTTCCTTCGTGTATTTATAGTTATAATTGTCACTTCTTTTATTCACCGTCTCATTTTTTTTCCGGGGTTACTGAGTTTGAGGTTCATACTATTATCTAATGATGCAGATTAGCCCTACTCCAGCCATGAGGGATTTGGGAGACGAGTCGAAGGAGATTGAGAAAGTGGAAATGGAGGAACTGCAGCAAGAAGAAGTCGAGGAGGATCCGAAAA